GTTGAACCTGAAGTAGATGCTCCAGCCAATGTTACTATGGCAACAGCTGCATCAACATGGATCATCACCCAGAAAATGTATATCGCCAGCTGCTGTCAGATATAAAGGCCATGAGGCAGGACACATAAAGGCTCACTAAAGCCATTTAAGCTTCTATAAAAACAGTAAAGTTTCATATGTTCTAAATAGCAGCTTTTATTAAAATTATGAAGGTTATTGTTTGTTTCCTCCCCTCCCAGAAACACACACATACATATGCCTATGTACACGTTTTTTATACATGCTCCGAACTTTATGTAACATATGGGACACATTGGGGAAAGACATGGTGCCAGATCGTTGACATAAAATGCAGAGTCAGCTAACTACTGCTGCACATACAGTGTATGTTAGAGAGCAATGAAATGTCTACATTTTGGACTTCATTCTTTAATGTGTATTTCACATATGTTTAAAAAATGGAGGTTATTTTTCTCTTATCTGTTTAATTTTTAAAACATTAAAAAGACAGAAAAATAGAAGCCTGTTATAAATTTAATTGCTTTCTTTCTTTTTATCAATGGCATTTATTGAAAGAATTATCCTTGGTTTGTCAAAATCTGTTTAAAATTGAAAAATCCCTCTGATATGAAGTAGTGTTCTCATCTATCATATAAGGCATTCAGGTTTTTTTTTTCTTTTTTGTTTAATTTTTTAATTTAATTTAATTTATTTTTTTATACAGCAGGTCCTTATTAGTCATCTATTTTATACACATCAGTGTATACATGTCAATCCCAATTCCCCAATTCAGGCATTCAGGTTTTATTCCTTTTTGTTTGAAGTGAGTATCAGCTTCTCTTTAATGATGTCACAAGAATCACATGCTCACTCTTCTTGTGAAAATATTAATTTAGAAAGGAAACTATCTCTAAGGTGCCTTATTCATTTCATTATTAGATGCTTATAAACATGTTATAAATTCACAAAGTCAGCAGGTGTGCATATCAAAGCAATGTGCTTTTACATGATAACATCTTAGGCCTCTTCTATAAAGTGGCCTAGAATGATCTGATCTATGATTAACTTCCTGAAAGTCTGAGCCTACTGAAAGTTGAAAGAAGTCAACTGATAACATTTTTAGGAGCCAAACAAAATTATTCACCCACTGTTAAAGAAAATACAAATTGCAAAGATATTTCACCATGAACTGTCAATGCTGAATTTATTCTCAAATTCCCAGAAAAAGTAGACATACAAAATAATGAGAAGGAAGAATAAAAAGCCAATTAGCGATTAAACTAATACAGCCACAGATAACGTTTAGGTATGGAAAAACAAAGACAATTTTAGGATGCGATAATGTTTTGCAATATGATTAATATTGCAATGTGCTTAATATTAATAGATATTTTGGAGGAGACAAGGAATCAGGGTTTCATAGAACCATAATGAGTCTGAGGTGCATATTTTATATAGCTCTTCACCTACTGTCACCTTCATCACCTACTTTCTTCTTATACAAAGCCAATGAAAACCCAATCGGTTTTTAAATGCTTCTGAATAAAATTAAAATAAAATAAAATTCTGTATCATTTATATCAGTGACCAATTTCTTTGAGGAAAGACCCTCAAGGTTAGGAAATTCTTCCTGTGCTTAGTTATTTTTGACTGGTTGCCTAACCCTATATAATTTCTAACCTTTAAAATGGCAACTCTTTCTAACAGCTGTGAAGTCAGTGCTCAGTGTTCTTTCTCAAAATGGTCAGCTTTCACTGGATTTCCCTTGGAGGGAGAATTTGTAACTCAACACGTTTCTTCAAGAATTTGCAGCCTACTTGTTTGTTAGCCAAACCATCTAGGTCATGTGAGCATGTATTTTCTATCCTTCCCCTGCCTCATGCAAAATGCCATTATGGATCCTGATCCTGAAATAGCAGCCTTATTGAGTAAGATAATGAGCCTCCTTGTTTAGGGCTTAGTGTTTTAAATACACAGTGACTGGCAGGCAGTGTTTCTCATTGATGAAGCAAATGTGTTCCATCGGGTAATCTATCCCAGTGGAATTCATTTGCGTATATGGCACCATCTTCCTATAAGTGGACAGCTTATTGGTCAAAGTTTCTTTCCAAGTTCTACTGTTAAACTGAGGCCTTTGCATTGGCATGGAAGAGCAATTCAAATCATCATCTACCTAAATATGGCATATGAAACTCTAACAGTGAGACATCTGTTAAAATTATTTTCTTTTGTACATATGTTTTGTTTGAGTTCTACTTATTTTAGCCTCACATATTATTCTGTCACGGCTGTCTGCCAGATAACACATATCCAGCTACAGTTAATATGTGTAAGTTGTGTTTATGAAGTCACATCTAAATAGCTTCATGTACAGATTTTGAGTAAAGAATGTGTTTTGTCATTTCTTGTGAAATTTGCATTTTAGAGCAAAAGGAGAATTTTAGCAGAATTGCTTTTTGAGACCAAGGGAAGGTCATTGTTTCTTATATCATGCACAGAGATAAGTGCATGATAGGCTCTCAACTTTATTTATAAGTGGCTTGTTAATAATGGAATGCTATTTTATATTGTTTATAGGTTGATATATTCTTCATGGGTTCATCAAACTTGTTCCTATATTTAAATGTCTTAATTACCTTTAATTGACATTACATGTCATCTCATCTCATCACTCTTGGTATTGTTTTTCTCTTCTGAGGATAGCAGTGGTTGACTCTTTACACTCCAAGTGTTTATGATATTTATTCAAGGTTTTTACCCAGTCTTTTGGTTCCTTTATGCCAGGATGATTTGAGGAACATGGGCTAATTGTGGGAAGGTAGACCTGAGTAAGGCCTAACTGTAGGTTATTTTTCATGATTCAGTTCTGCTAGGCAAAGTTGTTAAAAACTTGAAAGCTTCTGTTTTATCTTTTGTCATGATTTTGCATAATATTGATAACTGGCATCAGCAAGCACAAATAAAAATAAAAC